TCTAATACTAAATTTTATAAAATTTGTGTGATTTCAAATCATTTTAATTTTATTCTGAATTTATCAATTCGATATCAATAACATAAATCTATTTTTCTTAATGACCACATCGTTTTCTCGTTAATCAAGCCGGAAGTATTATTCAAAGTGATCTCTTTTACCAAAAGGAAGAATTTGATTTTGCATCCATAATTTTGGTGATACTTCGTGTTTGGCTTTGCAGTTTGCACCACGTTTTTCAAATTATTAATGTATATGCCCCAACTAACTCTCAAACCATTGATCTTTGCACCACACTTCTTTACAATTTTTGAACTAACGACTTAACGAGTGCATGCATTACTGGTTTTGAAAAAAAAGTCTAATATCCTCACAAATAGAGCTGAAGTAAGGTATTGCCCAAACATCCCGATATGAGGGACACCATTTTCACCCATGAATTTGACTTTGCACCCCACTTTTTGGGTGATATTGGACTTGGCACCCAATTTTCAAAATTTTTTGACTTTGCACCCCAACACATACTTCCTCTGTTCGGTTATAAGTGCAACATGCACTTTGACACGGAAATTAAGAAACAAAGTAAAGGTGATCGGTTTCATTCTTTTGTTCTTTCAATTACGGAAAGAACAACCACACAAGAAAAGAAACTGCTATGCTACAGTAGTTAAACTTGGATGCATATCTATCTTACAACCAATAAAGCAAACAGTACACTGCTCACTTTTGCAGAACACTTGGGAGGGAATTTCCAAAAGTAAAAAAACTTTCCCTCCATCTGCAACTAGGCTATTTATAGACAACATAACCTAAATAATTTTCGCTCCATCCATAATCACTACTTCCACAACATAATTTCCGCTCCATCCATAGCCTAAATAACAAAAAAAAGATCATGCAATCTGCAAACACTGCACTGCTCACTTTTGCAGAACACTTGGGAGTGAATTTCTAAAAGTCAAAAAACTTTCCCTCCATCTGCAAACTAGCCTATTTATAGACAGACTACTACCATAACATAATTTCCGCTCCATCCATAGCCTAAATAACAAAAAAAAAAAAAGGATCAAGCAGTCTTGACAACAACCAAAGCAGCAGAATCGGTCATGGAGAAGGAAATATCTGTAGAACTTCTTCAACTAGAGGGTGGGGGGTGTCTTTGATGATGATGATTTTGACCCAGATGTTGAAGTCTTCATCTCTTCCTTTATCTCTGCAACTGAAAGTGAAGAGGAAGAACAATCAGAAACTGATTCTCCTTTTCACAGTTCTACATCAACAAGTACCAGGAAAACAAACCTAAAAAGTAGTAAAAGAAAACTCTTAATGGAGAAACTTTTGATGTAAGCAGATGGTCAAACCTTACCTAAAGGAGTTGTGTCACAGATTGCAGCAGACTTCAAAGTTCACAGGACCACAGTATGGAGACTTTGGTCTGCTGCAAAAGCTCAGTTGGGCAATGGCACATTGGTAAATGTTAAAAGCAAAAAAAGGGGCCGAGTGGGGAGGAAACCAAAGGTGTTTGATTTATACCGACTTCAAGCGGTACCTCTTCAACAAAGAACAACAATAAGATCTCTATCAAGTGCTCTTGAAATTAGTCACTCCGCAGTTTATAGACTGATGAAATCTGGGCAAATTAGAGCCCATACAAACAGCATCAAACCTAAGCTAAGTTATTCACACATGGTAAAGAGGCTGGGATATATCTTGGGGCAGATTATACCGAGGCAAGTTGACACACTACCTAAATTTAGTGTAATGTATAACATGGTTCACATTGATGAGAAATGGTTTTACATGTCACAACAAACACAAAGATTTTACCTATTTTTGTGGGAGGATGAGCCTTATAGAAGTTGTCAAAACAAAAAATTTATTGGAAAAGTGTTGTTTTTGGCTGCTGTAGCCAGACCACATGTTTCAGTTGAAGGTCAAGTGCAATGGGATGGAAAAATTGGTATTTTCCCATTCACTGAGGTGGTTTATGCTCAGAGAAACTCAACAAATTAAATAGACTTGCCGGTACTCCAGAAACCAAAGTCATACAGAGTGTGACAAAGGAAGTTATTAGATCAAAACTCATCTTTTCACTCCTACCAGCAATAAGAGAAAAGTGGCCATCTAATGCATGTAAGGATATTTGGATTCAACAAGATAATGCAAGGCCTCATATAAGTGTTTATGATGAAGAATTTAATATGGCAGCTACATCTTTTGGATTCAATATTAGACTGACATGTCAGCCATCCCAAAGCCCACATTTTAAGAATAGTTTTCTGTTGCTTAAAACGTGCTGGTAGCATTAAGGTTAAAAATAAGTAGTAGCTTAAAATCAAAACAATAGCAATTGATTCCTTAAGCAATTAGGAGTAGCCTAAAATCAAAACCAATTTATTCATAGTTTTCTGTTGCTTACAAATTGCTTGTAGAATTAAGGTTAAAAATAAGGAGTTGCTTAAAATCTAAACAATAGCAGTTGATTCCTTAAGCATTGAGGAGTAGTTTAAAATCAAAACCAATAAATACGATTAGCAGTACATACCTTAAACATACGAATAGCTTAAAAGTACTTCTATATTCAGTTGATGGTAAATCAAACCCAACATCAATTTATTCAGTTGATGTAGCTTAAATTCAAAACCAATAGCAGTACATCCTTTAAGCAATAACAAGTACGAATTAAACAAATTACACCTAATAAAGACAACTGTATAAACATTAAGACCCATATATGCACAAATTACCTCTTTCACTCCACCCCTTCAATCCAAACTGCTCTGGCCACCAGATCCGGAAAAAATCCATCACGTAAGGTTTCTGGAATCCAAAGGTTGGATGGTAAACTCTGTCCTCCTTCATTGCTAACTTCTGTGACACCTTCTTCACTATAAAACTAGATGGCAAGAAGCTGCGATCATCAAACTCTTTCTCTCTTTCCGCAAGAACGTGTGGCGGAGTATCCGGAACCACCAAAGCGGAGGTAGAATCTTGTGGGGGAGTAATTGGATCCACCAAAGAGAAAGTAGTATCTCAATTTCGTCTTCGTCCATGAGCTTTCGTTTCGCAGAAATGGCTTAGGGTAGATGAGGAGAATGGAATCGGTTGAGGCCGTCAAGATGGAGTGGAATCGCAGAGGGGGACAAGTTGTAAAGATGGAATGGAATCGGTTGGTTGTGGTGGGTGGATAAATTTAAAAAATGTCTGAAATTAAAGATGGAGGTCGTAAATGATAAAGGGTATAACAGTCAGTTTACTAAAGATATATTTCTCAAAATGGAAAGGTTGCATTTAATCTGAAACTTTCGAAAATAGAAAATGTTGCATTTATTTAAGAACGAAAGAAGTACCATTTTGTGAAGAAAAATTTCTAAATAAGTACAAAGTTTAAAGAATTTTAAGTGAAATGAGATTCAAAATCAACGGACGGACTTCGCGCACCTCCAAAAGGGCTGAGCGCACCTCTTTTTCTACAAGACCGGACACATCTGCCCTCTTCCCTTTACCGAGTGTTTGTTTATTAATTGACCACTTGACCATACTCTTTTATCAATTCATGTACTCCGTATTAAACATGGTTTCCTTTTTTAAGTAGACATCATTTGCTTAAATGTCCTCCATTAATTTTCTTGACAAATTTGATGTTTTGAGTCTTTTGACCGCATTGCACTTTTTATTTAAGGTGAAAACTTCGGTACCCTTTTAAAAAATGGGATACTGTACCTACTATTCATTTGATTGGACCACATCACTTTATCATTTTTAATTTAGATTTAAATAATTCAACTGCAACATTCTCATTTGTCCATGTGTAAAAAGGTATGGTACCTTATGGGTACCATAGAATCTACCATTATTTAAATCTATTTATATATTTGAAAATGGAAATTAATAATCTCACATTTTAACAGTCTTACAATAGTCTCACATAACTGTAATTCAAGACTAATTCCATTTTTTTTTCACATCATCTTCTTTCATCGTTCTCTAACCAGTTGATGACCTATTATTACAAGTTATTTCTCTTTTTTCTTTGCAAAACATTAAATCATAAATCCCACATTTCACAAATCTTGTCTAGGCGTTCCGACGTATTATTTTTTCTTCTTAAAAGTTTTCTTTTTATCATGACAATGCTTTTATTTCCTTTTCTTCTTCTTTATTTTCATTTATTTACCTTGATTATGTACCCCTTTATTCATTTCCCATTAGAGTTCTTTATAGAATTTTTTCCGATTATTTTTCCTTTTTTTCTTCTCCATTTTTCTTTCCTTTACATGACTAGATTTATGATGTGAATAATATTTAGGATGTTTTTAATCGAACTGATTTTGATCCAGATAGATTCAAAAACATGAGATCAGATCTGACTAGACTAGATTTAAATAATACGGAGTAGTAAATATACATTTGTCGATCGTTCACGAGACTTGAACAGATTTAAAAAAAATACATATATAATATTGATGTCATATGAAAGATCATAAAAAGATATTTAATTTGGTATAATTTTTATAAAAATTGGAGCAAAATTGAAAAACTTATGATATTTTATTAATAAAAAATTACTTGCCACATGGCGCATTTTATTGGATGTATATTGAATGTAAATTGATATGAGCAAGCCGTCTCATTGGAGCCGAGCCTGGAGGTGCGCAGCGAGTTTTAATTATAATTAATTTTGATTAATAATTAAGAAGGCCATTTTAGTAAGCGCACCTCCACGCTCATATGAAAAAAAATAGTGAAATATGATTCAATTCAATACATTTTTTTCATAATTGGAGAACAAATGAAAATAGTATAACATTTATAAAAAAGAAATTTTTCAATCCATTTTATAAAAAAGGTTATTTATACTTCATCATATTTGAGTCATTAAACATAGTTACCAGAAGTTCACCATAATGGGGTGTGTACGTAATTTTGATGAACTAAGTATATTATTATACCATCCAAATAAAAAGATAATACGAAGTAGTTACGTAGAGCAAAATGGGGTTCGCAGTAGTTACGGAGTATTACGGAGTACAAAAATAAAGGGGGCTAAATTGTCTAACTAAGGTTAGGTAAAGCAATTATGGGGTGCGCCTAGCAACACCCAAAATCAACTTGCCTCAATCATATTCCCCTTGTCAAAAGCCAATTGGTAGCATCTGTTCTTTGCTGCCTGCGACGATGAACTGCGAAGTCGCTGCAACAGTGAAACCATCTTCTTCTTCCTGCCAGAGACTCTCCTCGCATAACTTCAGGGGGCTCCTCGATTCCGTCGACGCTTTTCTATTCGACTGCGATGGTAAATGCTCTACTTCACTCATTAATGTGGAATTGCTTTCGACTTGTTCCTTTTGCAACAGTAAACATACCAATGCATTTAATTAATGTCTAAAAGTGATTTTGCTTCTACTTTTAAGGTGTGATTTGGAAAGGTGATAAATTGATAGATGGAATCCCTGAAGCTCTTCATATGCTTCGTTCCATTGTACTCAACTCTTCTTTTACCTTTTGTTTTGTGACACTTTGGGAGAGTTTTATCTACTCCTTATTTCATTGTCAGTCATTGGCGTGCTAATGCGGCTATTTTATCAGGGGAAGAAGCTTGTTTTTGTGACAAATAATTCAACAAAATCAAGAAAACAGTTCTCCAAGAAGTTCCATACTCTTGGAATTACAGTTTCTGAGGTTTGTATCCTCTCTTTTTTTAATCCTTGAGTGGCAAAGAGAAATTCATTAGTCCTTTATCTGAAAAAGTATTTAACTGTATTGCAGGATGAGATATTCTCATCTTCATTTGCTGCTGCAATGTATTTGAAAGTTCACAACTTCCCAAAGGACAAGAAGGTTAGTGAATCTGTTGCTCAAGTTCCTGCATTCTTCTGTAGAAGGACGATAGTTAGCTATAACAAATATATGGTACCATAGTCGAAGACAAAATTTTTTCCTTTATGGACATAAGACATGAAGGTTTGACAAGAATTTCTGGGTTGGGTAAATGTATTCTGTGGTTCAGTGGTATTGGCATGCATCCTTATCACCTAATATTGTGGGTCAGATACAAAATGGGTGAGAGTCGTGAGACAATATGATCTCTGTGTATCATTTGTTAAAGGTCACCTCTAAAATAAAGGAAACTGTTATGGCATATTCTGGTGTTTCTTAATGGATTTTCCTTTTCTTCTTATTTGTTGTGAATGGAAATGATATAATGTGATTATATACCCTCACATTTAACAAATGGTATTTGAGAATGTACCAATAACTTAAGTCAGACACGTTTCTGTTCATACTGATGTAGTAAAGTCTTTCTTGTTTCTACTGATATGATCTGCATTATATAGTATATAACTTGATGATTGCTAGAGGTATCTAAAATTCAGCATTTCAGGTCTATGCAATAGGTGAGGAGGGCATGTTGGAGGAGCTTACGCTTGCTGGCTTTACAGCGCTTGGTGGTCCGGTTAGTTTCCCTCTTGGTGTTCCAGAGTTACAATTACCTGAAATTTAGCAAATCATCATGAACCCTGCTTAGATATCATATGGCTTGATCAAATTCCAAGAGCCCTCTGACCTGCATTACAAAGACATACTCATACTTGATACTTCTTCCGTTCGTTTGTAGTCATGACATTTTGATTTTTGCACTATTTATGTATTTCCTTTGACAAATAAAAAATGGTTTTAAATTTGTTTCATAGTAATTTCAAAATAGCTTCTTTTTATAACTTTGACCACAGAAAGTATATTAATGGTCAAAGCTATATTTTGGAAAATGTTAAACTCAAACCGCAACAACAAAAAGAACAGAGGGCAGTGTATATATATCACAGGCTTAGAAATCCTTGAAATTAGCCCAAATAGATGGGTTAATTAGATCATTGTTTTTTTCCTTTAGCATGATGGTCATGAAATTTGAATTGTGACACCATACTATAAATCTCTTAATTTGCTTATCTATTTGTTGATGGTAGACCAACTTTGCAGGATGATGGAAAAAAGACTTTGGACTTGAAATCAGGACGTGTTTTTGAGCATGATAAGAGTGTAATTTAACACCATGCTATCCAATTTGGAACAGCTGTTTTAAGTTTTATTAATTCATTATAGAATTGCAAGTGAAAGGAATCACTCTCTTAGTGTTTGTTTCTATTGATCAGCTATTGTACCTAAACCCAGGTTGGAGCTGTCATTGTTGGACTAGACCAATACATCAATTTTTACAAGCTACAGTAAAGCCTAGACTTTTCCTATCTTACATCATTTTTCTTTTAATTTTTATTCTTTGATAATGCTTCATTTTAAATCTCGCATGGGTAATGGGTTTAATAAGTTAAGAAAAAACTTCAAGTAGGAGTATAACACATGATATGTGTACAAGTATGTTACTAATGTTTTCCATTATGAATAAGACTCTTCCAGTCTTAGGGAAGGAATAAAACTTCATAATATTTTTCACAGGATAAAAGAGTCATATACTTGAGAAAAAAATGATAATCCTATTTGTAGAAATGTGTTACATTTAGTCCTAGTTATGAATTGTCTCTTATATTTTTCTCTAGATTTACAATTAATTTTGCATCCAATATCACATTGAGATGAAAAAAGAAAAGAATCAATAATGATGAATCTGTATAGAGAATAATACTATACATTGTAATCTAGAAAAGCTAACTTTATGAACTCATGGGATTTAAAATGTGAAGTATTGTTTCGTTACAGATATGGAACCCTCTGTGTACGTGAGAATCCTGGATGCCTGTTTATTGCTACTAATCGTGATGCAGTGGCGCACTTAACGGCTCTTCAAGAATGGCCAGGTAAGCTAAGATGTTAGAATTTTGGACAGTTATTGCAGCAATGACGTTTGGGAACTCAGTGCACACTTTAATGGCTTTAGGTGCTGGATGTATGGTTGCTGCAATGTGCGGATCAACTCAAAAGGAGCCCATTGTAGTTGGGAAGCCATCCACCTTCTTGATGGACTTTCTACTACAGAAGTAAACAAAACCTTACAATTTCTTGCTGTGATTAAGAACAGATATACTCCCAAGTACACACATAGATAATAATACGGGTGAACGAAAAACCGAAACCAACTGACAAATCGACCAAAACCGAAACGAATGAAACTGAAACCGACTAAAACCAACCAACCCCTCAGTGGTTTGGTTTACGGTTGATGATTTTGCTTTAAAAATCTGACTGAACTGAGAAAAATGATAAAAAACTGACAAAAACTAACCAAAATTAATTGAAGTGAAACCGACCGAAACTGACTCAAGTGGTGCGATTCAGTTCTCGGTTTCACCTTTTTTGAAACCAACAGACCAAAAGTCGAACCGATAAAAGCGTAATCTATGAGACTATATTGGCGAACACCCCTAGATAATGTGTTATAGGCTTATAGCTAAAGATAAAAATATTGCCCGTTTTAGACAAAATATTTTCTATTTCGTTTTAGAAAATCAAATAAATAAAATTTTAGATATATTTTGTGATACTTCCTAAGTTCCATATATTTCTCAAAATACATTGTTTTTTTTTTCATATATTGACAATTTCCAATTTTTTGCCGGAACTCCAAGTAACTCTGTTACCTCTATATAGATATCACGACCTAATATGAGGATGGAGATCGACTGCACATGTGAGGATGGAGCGAATAGACTTTAGGATTTAATTACTCAAGGGGCATTCTGGTCCCTTCAAATTTCCACACAAATTTCTAGTTATATTTTTGTCTAATGAAAGTTGAGATGTAAAAAAAAAAAGATATCACGACCTAAAAATATGGAAATTTCAAAGGAATCTAAATATTTCCACTATTAAGTATGACCTTAGGTCTGGTTCTTATTTATAAGAACCACTGCTTCCACCAATAACAACATCCATGACCCAAAAAAGTTTTGGATCAGCAAACATGAATCGACATATGAAATCAGAGTTAAAGACAATAAGTGATCAATCCCTCATGTATACTCTCCTTTTTACTTTGCTATCTCTAATGTCATACTCTTATATGTAGTATAATTGAAGAAGTATCATATCATTCCTTACTTCTCTAATCCAGTAATAACTATTGTGTCAGAACCTGGCAAGTGTCTAGGTTTCGGCAGGATAATCTCACCTCTAATTAGTTTAACTGAAGAGTTGTTGATATCATTGGCGTTGGCTTCACTGTCCTCATGCAGGTTCAATATCACTACCTCAAGAATGTGCATGGTGGGTGACAGATTGGACACTGATATACTATTTGGACAGAACTCTGGTTGCCACACTCTCCTTGTTCTTTCAGGTCTGAGGCTAGTTATTGACTTATTGCTGTTCTTTGCAGGAGAAAATTTCCAAACGTTTTAAGAAAGCCTAGTGAAAAGCTAAAACGGGACCAAGGTTGTTAAAATCGTATTTTTTGATCGAATCGGAATAAAGGTTCAAAAATCAAATCGTAAAATCGAATCGTAAATCGTAAGATTTTATAATAAAAAAATTATTAAAAATATTGCATAAAAGGAAATGTACAATTTATCATTTATAAGTCAATTTATTGCAAATTTAAGTCTGCTAGTTAAACTATTATAAAAATTGCCTCCGTATAACCCCTCCACTTTTGAATTACAAAAATATCACTTTTTTTCTCTTTTCTAAAAATATCACCAAACCTAATCTCTGCAACTTCCCACTCGACATTTCCATTCCCCCTCTCGGCAACTTCCCCTCTCACCAACTATCGCAACCCCTTCTGGCGTAGATCGGCTCCACCTTATGGCGGCCGACTCTGCCGGCATCGCACCGCCACCACCACCGCCTTAGGTCGCCGGTTCCACTTTATGCCTTCCGCCTGTGCCGCCATCATACGACGCCGTCTCCGCCATCAATCAGCTTCGCCGCCTTCGTCGCTCCGGTTCTCTTCTTCTTCTCCTTCTTTAATCCCTGTCCGATTGATGAAGCAATGACAAAGATGGACTGACATCAACATGGTAGAAAGGCTAAGGTTTCCAGATCTGCGTTAAAGTTCCGGCGGTTAGGGTGTAAGTGCTTGGATTTCAGATCTGGTGGACGGAGTTGGGTGTGGCTAGGTTTTGCCTAGGCAAAGGGGGCAGATGTGGTTCAGTGGCAGGGGAGGGAGACAGGTTGTGAGTCTTGGGCTGCGCAAGGGGGTGTGGTGGGGGGCTAGGGTGCGGTGGCCGGTTGGAGTGGTCACAACGGTTGCGGGAGGCAGTGGTAGGGTCTTGTGTCGCTCTTTGCAGGGCAGGGGTGTGGTTATTGAGACGGCGAGGCTGGGGTGGTGGCAGTGGCGGAGGAGGGCTAGGCCGGGGTGAAACAGGGTATTGGCTGAGGTGAAGGTGGGGTCGGACAGGGGGCTGGGGTTAGGAAGGGGGTCGAGTAGAGGGCTGATGTGAGGCATGGGAGGGGGCTAGGTGATGCAGCAGGCTGGGTGTGGTAGTCGCCGGCGGTGGCCGGAGTTGATGGACGCCGGAGATGGTGGTTACCAATAGTGGACAGGGCTTGGGGCTTGGGTTGGGGTGCGGTGGCCACCTTGCTGGCCGGGGTGGTTGGTTTGAGGTGGTTCAGTTGAAGGCGTGGACATTGACAATGACTTGCCGGGGGAGGGGGCGGCAGTGACTGACCGGGGAAGTGACTGGCCGGGGGGTGGCGGCTGTCACTGGTGGCGACAGTGACTGGCCGGGGGGTGGCGGCAGTCACTGGTGGCGGAGTCACTTTCAATGGCGGCGGCAGTCACTGCCCGGCGGTGGCAGAATTTTCGTTGAGCAGGTAGTCAACGTAACCGGAGTCAAGCGGTGGTCATTATGGCCAGTAGGCGGGAGTCACTGTGACCGGCGGAGTCACTTTGGCCGAAGTCACTTTGGCCGGAGTCACTTTGGCCAGAGTCACTTTGGCCGGAGTCACTTTTGCCGGAGTCACTGTGACGGCGGCGGCGGTGACCGTGGCGGCGGCAGAGGTGGTGCTTGGGTCGGCGGTCTGGAGATGCTGACTGCTAACCAAGATTACTATTAATTAAATGTGTAAAAGGAATACTCCGTAAATGATTAAAAATAAGGAATAAAAATGCATTTAGTAAAACAGCTCACCACATTTGACCACGTGAAATGCCTGTTTTAGTCACATTTTTGGGAAAAATTAAAACAGCTCACTTTTTTATCTTTTTCATTCATTTTAGTAATATTGGAATAAAAAGGCCATGTTTTTTTGTCTTATAATGATATCTTAATTAAAGTGCACAAAATAATGTTATGTAATCAAAGAGAAAAAGTCATTCAATAAATAAATATAATTTTATAATCAAGTTTTAGAATGGTAAAATTATATAAATACGGAGATTGCTAAATTTTTTAGAATAGAAATAATAGCTAAGTTAATATAAGTATGTTTAAATTATATAACTATAAGCTTAAAATTTACTACATACGAATAAGTACGTAGTATATAACTATGTTCTTACTAAATCACATTCTATGGCAGTTGCTCAGCCAATGGTGGGTGCGTTCAATCCGTAGTTTAGAACGGAGGTTTTTTTCTCAAATCCATCTTTCCCACACCGGATAGACAAGGCAAATTGTCCTCCATATAGCGCTATATAATGCTGATGCCATTTGAGACAATGGCAGGACACAGCACCGTAAGCACCTATGGGCCAGAGCAACTCGGGCCTTGTTTCGCTTTAGGTTGGGCCATGTTTGGCTTGAGTCAAAAAGAAATGTTTAAAATCGTAAAATCGGATGTAATCGCGATTTTAGACGATTTTGCCCGATTTCAAAGCGATTTTATGCGATTTTAATTATTTCCGATTTTGTTCACGAGTCAAACCGGCTTATAGATGTTTAACTCGCGATTTTGATAACCTTGAACGGGAAAGAACAGTTTGCTTGCTCTGATATGTCTGTTTTTTTGAAAGGATATGCATGTTTTGTTGTTTGTTGCAGGTGTGACAAATCTAGCAACACTTTTAGACCCTGCAAACGACATCAAACCAGATTATTACACTGACAAGGTGTCCGACATTCTAAAATTGCTGGAATGATCGTAGCATCAGATTTGTCATTGCCCATTTCTTCTATTGTTAGTTGATTGATAAGTTCATTAAGAAAACTTGTAACACATCATCTGAAAAATACACAGCAATACAGGACGTTTCTCTTACTCCATTACAGAATGCTATGTTCATTCGCCGCACATCAAGTGAATAAGTTAAAAACACCAAAGTTTTAGTCTATTCACTCATTTTATTGTACAACTCAAATACATAAAATGCCAATAAGTATATTCACCATTAGGGTTGAACTTTCCCTTCACCTTCCTACTGTCCTGTCCAGCTAAGAATGTTGATGAAAAAGAAACAATGGGCTTTCACTTGACTTGTCTCTTTTGTTCTTCAGCCAAAAATGATTGTTCACCAAATTAAAAAGAAATTGAAACCTAAATCTAAAAGCAACAGGTGTCGTTAGTTTGGCAATTCTTGAACAAGGAAAAAATGATTCAAATGTCCAATTAAATCTAGAAATAATTACATATGTATGAATAAACTAGTAGCAAAAATTATTTATAAAAATGTGACCTCTAATATGTAATGACTGTTGTAGTGGCTGTATCATAGTTCAGCCAAAAATGACAGTTCACCGAATTAAAAAGAAATTAAAACCTAAATCTAGTGTTGGACTCGGGCCGGGCGGCCCGGCCCGGAACCGATCCGGCCCGGAACCGGCCCGGCCCGGTTACTGTTTGGCCCGGCCCGGCCCGGGGCCCGGTGGGTCCACCGGTTCGGTTCGGCCCGGCCCGGCTGCTGGGCGGTTCGGGCCCGGGCCCAGGTTTTGGTGAACCGGCCCGGCCGGTTCGGGCCCGGTCCGGGCCGGATTTTAATTTTAATTTTTTTTTTTTGAAATTTTTTTAAGTTTTAGGTTGGATTAGGTATTTTGGGCCATTTGAGGTGGTTTGGGATGGTTTGGGGTTGAGGGGGAGGGGTAGGGGATTAAATAGGAGAACAAAAAAAAAAATAATTGGGCCGGTTCGGCCCGGCCCGGCCCGGCCCGGTTTGGCCCGGAACCGGGACCGGAACCGGCCACCGGCGGTTCGGGCTCGGGCCTCCCTTTCCTGGCCCGAGGCCCGGCCGGGCCCAGGCCCGAACCGGGCCCGAACCGGCCCGAGTCCAGCACTACCTAAATCTAAAAGCAACAGGTGTCGTTAGTTTGGCAATACTTGAACATGAAAAAAAATGATTTGACTACCCAATTAAATCTAGAAACAATAACATTATTTTCAACTTTAAACTTAAGTTATCATGATACTATATTATACAGAGTAGTAACTATTAATCATATTCTTGTAATGTATTTGAAAAAACCTTTTAAATCCAACATAAAAACTATAATATTTCAATTATATTAAAAAGTTGTGGTTCAAAATTTATGTACTGAACACACTTCATTTATCCAAAATTTTGAACTCACATTTCTATAAAATATCATTTACTTTCATCTTTCGTCTCTTTTTTGCTGACAAAAAATGTTTAAGTTTATTTAATTTTTATGACCACACAAAGTAGGTAAAATAACCCAAATTTAATCGAGAAATACATATACTAATTTGAAATGTGTTATCTTTAAATTATATTAGCGCTTTTAAATAATTGCAAACATGTTGACTTTGCATTAATAACGTTCTCCACTTTCATTAATTACGTACATTTTATTATTAATGTATAAATAATTTTAATTTAAAGTACTTTTAAATTTGTCTCATTGAAATTTTGAGAAATAATTATCCCTTGTATGACTAAAACTTCCCCACTTTCCCAATCTATTACCTAACTAGTTTTTTTCCCAAACTAATATTCAAATCAATTATATTTAATTAATTTCGTAATTAATAATTAAATAATTAATTTTTGTGGACTAATATACCCCTTTGGTTAAGCCTATAAAACCCTAACCTCCTACTCTTTTTCTCCAACTCTAGCCTCTAGCTTCCCACTACTCACACACACCCGCCTGCCGCTGCTGCTGCCCCCGCCGCCGCCCAGCCTCCACCCACCCGCCACCTACCTCTGTCGCCCCGCCGCCGCCCAGCCTCCACCCACCCGCCACCTACCTCTGTCGCCCTGCCACCGCCCTGCCGCTGCCTTGTCGTACGTCCGCCTGCTCATCACCTCCGTCTAACTGCATAGTCACCTGTTCTCCTCCTTCGTACATCCAGCCCGCACTCGCCGCCACCGTCGAGCTTGCCCTGGCTGCCGCCGTCCCGCCGCATAGTTGAATCGCGCCTCCGTCAACCAGCTTGCTTGATCTCTTGCCGCTTGAGATTACGGTTTGTTGGGTTCTTCTTCTATTTAATGAAATTAGGGTAATAATTAATGTTGCCAAAGAATGGTGATGGCCGGACCACCGCTCCAACAACTCAGATTCTTCAGCAAGACGGTCGAGGTTGAAGACGAACCCAAGATTGAAGAAGAACCCTAGGTTGAAGACGATTGAGGACAGTGTGCAATGAATATTTTTTATGTAATGCCGTGAATATCATAATAAGTGCAATGATTATTTCAAGGAAGTTCGTGCAATGATATGACCATATATAAAGCGATTTTGACAAGAAGTGCAATAATGTAGAGCATTAACATTGATATAAACTGCAATGATCAAATCTAAAAAAATTATAAAATGCTAACATTTTTGTAATGTTTTGTCATAACTCTCGCATGGAGTGCATTGGATTTAATTAAACGTACAAATTAAAATTATCAAAACTAAAAAAGGACAAACTGAAGTGTCATAACTTAAGTGCATGAAGTGCATTATATGTCGTGCAGTGAATGCCGTCATAAAGTGCTATAAATGTTGTGTTATAACGCGTTCATAAAGTGCAATATTTTTACACGGCTGAAATTAGGGCAAAATGCATCTTTTTTAAATAAGGGCATTTTCGTCCTTCCACATTATAATATGACAAAATTTTCTTTTTTTTCGATTTTTACTCATATTCCGGGAAAAAAACATAGCTACTCATATTTTGAGAAACTCAATATGTTTTAGTCATATCTTGGGAATTTTTCCAAATTTTGAATATTCAATTTATCTTAGAATTTTTACTAATATTCAATTAAATATATTTATGATCAAAGTTCTATGTTGACAAACATGAAAGTGTAAGGGTTGCAACAAAATACGAACGGAATAAGAATAAATGAAGTAATTATTATGTAGTGGTAAATATTTCTTAGTAGATATTTTTGTTACAAGTAGGCAATTAGTTAGTGTTTTATAAATTGTGTAGGAAAAAGTGTTAAATATATTATATCTCTCCTCTTGCTTTAATTTAAATAGGATGCATTTGTATCTTTTTTTTTTGGACAAGGATGTATTTGTATCCTAGAACAACTTACTGTAATACAGTAATAGTAAGCTTAAATTCATACATCATCGACCATTCGAACGAGCGGATTAAAGATAAATTTTCCAGTAATTTTTCAAAATTAATCAAGAAAAAAAATTAATTTCTAAGAAAGTTTGATTTTTCTTGTTGTATTATTCGAAGTATTCCGTTTGAAGCCGTGTTTATCTCATTGGAAAGGCCCTTAAACGCTCTTCAACTCATATTGATAATTTATTTACCAAATATAAAACTATAAAAGCTAAGGATGAGTACGTGTTACCAATAAATCAAATACCACACTGTTAGTCACTGTATTTACTCCAAACTAATGAAGTGTTTTGATTTGATCATATTAATGTATTTCACTCATTTAGAAGTTATTTTCAGCTAATGGGAAAGAACTAAAGTTTCAAAACTCGTATGGAGATTCATTTACCAAATATTAAACGATGAATAAGTATTACTGGTTCGGGCCTGGGCCCGGCCGGGCCTCGGTTCAGGAAAGGGGAGGCCCGAACCGGCCCGGGTAACCCCCGGTTCCGGGTGGGGCCGGGCCGGGCCTCGGTTCAATTTTTTTTGCCTCTTCCTAATTAACCCCTAACTCCCCCCCCCCAAACCATCCCAAACCATCTCAAATGACCCAAAATACCCAGCCCAATCCAAAAAACTTAAAAAAAAAAAGGAAAAAAAAGGAAAAAAAAAAGGAAAAAAAAAAAAGAAAATGGCCCGGACCGGAACCCCAGAGGGTCGGGCCTACCCGAACCGGTCACTGACCGGGCCGGGCCGGAACAGTGCCGGTTCGGGCCGGTTCCGGGTCGGGTCACCCGGCCCGAGTCCAGGCCTACCGGTACTTAAAGACCACACTCTATACGATCAAAAAAACAAAGACCACACTCTATTGAGTATTGCCTCCAAATAGGTGAAGTTTTTATTAATTAGATCATATTTTATTGTATTTTATTCGGTTTGAAGCCATTTTAATTTCAATGAAAAAACCGTTAAACTTCTAAAACATGTATAGAGATTTTATTTATCAAATATCAAGGGATGGCTAGATATGGGTACATATATTACCCAAAGGTTCAAAAATCACATGTTGACTTCAAACCAACAAAATGTTTGACTTGATCACGTATTGTTGTACCAATACAATGTTTAGGAGTAATACACACTCATTCTTAATATTTGTTAAGTTTAATCTATACGAAAGTTTTAGATCGTCCAATTTATCTTCCCATCTTGATTGAAATGAAACACTTTTTGGATATGATTAAATCAAACAGTTCCCATATATAGTATTAAAAAAGATTTAGTTCTCAAATTTCGGTGTAGTGTATTATCTAAAGTAGTATTATCTTGCAATATTATCTAAAGTAGTATATTACGTTATAATACTTCCATTCGTCTTTTCAATTAGATAAAAATATGCTTATGTGAAACAAATTACATTAACTATATTATCATCAAATTAAGCACCTCCCGTGTACGATAAAAGACTCATAAAACCAAAAGGACTAGACAACTTGGGAGTGGCGAAATGAGCTAAACAGACATGGATAAAATACCCTTAATATGGGGCCCTCAGGGATGGGGTGTCATCCTTTTTTTTGTCTCATTTAGTTTTTTCATCCGTCCCACTTAATATGTCTTATAACACATTTGGTCATAGTTGGGCGATAATAATTATTCTTACTAAATACACATTTTTACTAAAGAAAATAGTGGCACACAACTCTACTTTTATGAACTGTACTGCTCCCTGGCCTGATGTCCCAAACTCTCAATTACTACATACTACCTCCGTTCTCTTTTAGTTGCAACATTGGACTTTTTGCACTATTCACATATTCTACTTTGACTACATTTTATTAATTGATGTATTATAAATTAAATTTTTTAAAAATATTGTTAAATTCTTCTCATTCTAAATTTTCAAAATATGATTTTT